GGGGTGTGGCTGCCCTTATACCTTTTCCCAACACTGAGGACAATACAAAGTTCTAAAAATACTCTGAGCCAAAGTAACATTAATAGGATAAATATAGACACACAGGAGGGAACTTTCTTTTCTTTTTCTTTTTTTTTTTTTTTTTTTTACTACTGAGCCCTTTTTATTTTTTCATTTTGGGCAACTTAGTGAGACATTGTCTCTGAATAAAAAWATTTAAAAGGCTGGGGATGCAACTCAGTGGTAGAGCACTTTCCTAGCACATGCGAGGACAATATCTCAATATTACACCACTCCTGATTTTTCTATGTTGACGTTGTATCCTGCAACTTTACTAAATTTGTTTAACAGTTGGAGTGTTTTAAGTTATTTTTAAATTTTTTTTTTAGTGGAGTCTTAGGATTTTCTCTTGTCATCTGCAAACAGTGATAGTTTAATTTCTTCCTTTCTAAGTTGGATGCCGTCTCTTTCTTTCTGGTGCCTGATTGCTCTGGCTAGAACTTGCAGTACTACGCTAATAACACGAAAGGACGTACCCTTGTCTTGTCATGGGCCATACAGGAAACACTTTCAACATATGAGCTGTGGACCTATGATATATGGGCTTCTGTACCTAATTTGTTGGGAGCTTTTATCATGAAGGGATGTTGAATTTGTCAAATGATTTTTTTTCTGCATCTCTTGAAGTGATCATATGGTTTTTGTCCTTCATTCTGTTGCTGTGATGAGTCACATTTATTGCTTTGCATATTTTGAACCACCTTGCATACCTGGGCTGAATCTTATCTGGTCATGGCAGGTGATCTCTTTAATGTGCTATTGAATTTGGTTTTGTAGTATTTTTTTTTTTTAGGGTTTTTGTATCTATGTTCATCAGGGTTATTAGCTTTTACTTTTCTTTTATTGTTATGCCCTTGTCTGTTTTTTTTTTTTTTTTCAGCTGGAAGTACACCCTCCTCTTCAGTTTTTTTTTTTTTTTTTTTTTTTTTTAAAGAGAGAGTGAGAGAATAGAGAGAGAGAGAGAGAGAGAGAGAGAGAATTTTAATATTTATTTTTTAGTTCTCGGCGGACACAACATCTTTGTTTGTATGTGGTGCTGAGGATCGAACCCGGGCCGCACGCATGCCAGGCGAGTGCGCTACCGCTGAGCCACATCCCCAGCCCAAAACTGATGTTCTTTAAAGGGGAGAATTCAGCATGAAGAGCTCGGTTTGATGGGCAACTTTTTATTGTTGATCCAATCTCATTAATCCTTCTAGGCGTACAGATTCTCTGCTTCTTTATGATTCAATTCTTGGTAGGTTGTATATGTCCAGGAGTGATTCGTCGGTGTTTAATTGTTTATAATGGTTTCTTATGATCTTCTGTGTTTCTGTAGCATCTCTAGTAACGTTTCCTTTTTCATTACTGTTTTTATTTGGTTCTTTTTTTCTTAATCTGGCTAAGGTTTTTATTATGTTTATCTTTTGTGGGTGGGTGGGGATCAGGGATTGAACTCAGGGGCACTCGACCACTAAGCCACATCCCCAGCCCTATTTTGTACTTTATTTAAAGACAGGGCCTCACTGAGTTGCTTAGCGCCTCACTTTTTTGGCTGAGCCTCTGGGATTACCGGATTGCGCCACTGCTCCGGCTAAGATTTGTTTTGGGTCCAACTTGTGATCCATCCTGGAAGCSGCTCCAGGTGCAGTTGAGAAGGATGTGTGTTCTACAGCAGGCGAGTGGAGAGTCGCATACATGTTGTTAGGTTGTTTGGGCTGGAGTGCAGTTTAAGTCTGGCCTTTCCTTGTCGATTGCCGTCTGGATGATCTGTCCATTGCTGAACTTGGGGTGTTGAGGTCCCCCACCCATTATTTTCTTGCAGCCGCTCTCTCCGTTAGCTCTATTGGTGTTTGCTTTGTGTACTCAGGTGCTCTGATGCTGGGTACCTATGCACTCACAGTCATACCTCTAGCAGGACTGTCCCCTTGATGACAGTGTGGTGCCCTTTTGTTTTTTTTATGGTTTTTATTTAAAGTCTGTTTTGTCTGATATACTCCTGCTCTTTGGTTTCTGGTCGCATGGAATCTTTTTTTTTTTTTTCCCGTCACTCCCTTTCAGTCCACTGTGTCCTTACCAGTGAAGTGACGCTCTTGAGGACACATGGAATCTTTAGCTTTTAATCCATTGTGTCTTTTAATTGGAGAACTTAATCCATTTACATTCAAGGTGATCATTGAGAGGTGAGGACTATCACTGCCATTTTGTTGTCTTCTAGTTGTCTTCTATTTGAAGCACCTTGCATATCCTGTCTTCATCTCTGGAAGTGGACAGAAGGCATTCTCTGGAGCCCAGGCTGGTGCCCAGGTGAATTTTTTTTGTGTGTATGTGTTTGTGTGTCTCCAACATGTGTTGACTACAAAGAGACATTTAATTATTTTAAAATCCATTATGAGGACAACTTCAATTAAGTTCTAAAAATGTTTTGAGGCAAAGCAGTATTAATAGATTAAGTGAAGATCCTTCTACAGGAACGTTCTATTCTTGTTTGACTTGGTCTTAAATTTGGACAAGTGTCATTGCCTGCAATGCATTAGGCACTTGTGAAATGTGTGTAAGTGGCAGGCAGGAGCCTGTTGGGATGTTTGCTTTTTTTTCCTTAATATTTATTTTTTGGTTGTAGTTGGATACAATATCTTTATTTTATTTTTGTTATTCCCAAACCCTTTTGTTATTCCAAACCTTTCCCAGGCCCTCCAGAGTTTGTGCTAACATGTTGACTYTTGAAGAACGGGGACTGGCCGCCAGAGGAAGCCACCACGTGCTCAGAGGTCTAGAAGCTTCAGCCCCACTCCCCGACCTGTGGTGGGAGGAGAAGGCTGGACTTGGACTTCATCACCAGCCGCCAATGATCTCATCCCTTGTGAATGCACAATAAAGCCTCCATAGAAACCTCCAGTGCCGGGCTCAGAGAGCTCGCAGGAGCACAGGGAGGGTGGCGCCTGGAGCAGGCTGGAAGAGCCGCACTGCAGCTGGCRCCCAGGCTCGGCTCAGAGCCTCTCCTCCTCTGGTTGCTCCTGAGCGATATCCTTTGTAACAGGCCAGCAACAGTGAAGGGTTTTCCTGTATCTCCAGGGCTGTGGGCACCTTGACTGGTAACCAAGTTGGACAGAAGTGTGGGTAACCACTACTTGCAATTGCATCTTTTTTTTTTTTTTTTTAGATTTATTTTCTAGTTGCAGTTGGACACAATATCTTTGTTTTATTTATTTTTATGTGGTGCTGAGGATCCAACCCAGGGCCTTGAATGTGCTAGGCGAGTGCTCTACCACTGAGCACAACCCCAACCCCCAATTGTGTCTTTTTTTTTTAGTTGGATAGACCTTATTTATTTATGTGCAGTGCTGAAAATCAAACTCAGTGCCTCCCACATGCTAGGCAAGGGCTCCTCCACTGAGCCCCAGCCCCACAATTGCTTCGTGACGGGAGGCGGTCTTGCAGGACCCAGCCCGTAACCTACTCTCACTCCAGGTAGTTGATGTCAGAACTCRGCTGCAGGATGCCCAGTTGGTATCCACAGGGAACAGGAAGTTTTTCTGACTACACCTCAAGCTGTGTCCTGAGCACTTCGTGAAGATGAACTCATCAGATCTTTCAGGAAGGTTGGTGGTTGAGCCCAAATGGAAGTCAAAGTTAAAATGAGGTTAAATAGTTCCCTGGTGTCTCACAGAGGTGACTGGTGGAGCCACAACCCCAGCCCAGGGAGGCTGGCGGGGAATGTGTCCAGAACACCGTGTGCCACTGCTTGTCTCTGTTCCCATGTGGGCGGTCCAGAGCCTGTAGTTGTGACACCAAAAGAACGGCCAGTGCTAAAAGAATGTGGGTTGTTTTGTTTTGTGTCTCGAGACTTAAAAACAAACACAGAACATTCTTTCTGAAGTGTGTATTTAGCATTTAGTGCTGGGTGCACATTCTTCCAGAGGTGCTCCAGACCGGAGGACAGCTAACCTGCAGCTAAGACTGGCCTCATCTGGCGGGCACCATGGCATATGCTGCTTGGGAGGCTGAGGCAGGAGGATGGCAAGTTCAAAGCCAGCCTCAGCAAAAGCCAGGTGCTAATAAGCAACTCAGTGAGACCCTGTCTCTAAATCAAATACAAAATAGGGCTGGGGATGTGGCTCAGTGCTGAGTGCCTGAGTTGAATCCCTGGTATCAAGAAGGGGGAAAACCCACTGGCCTCATCGGATTGTGCAGTCAGGCCAAGTTTACTTTTGTCCCGTGAGTGGTATGAAACTAAGTTCCTTTGATTCATTTATTGGGCAGCTTCTTGAGTGCCTAACGTAGCCAGGGCTAGTACTCCCTAACCTTGGGCAGTTATTTGAGTTCTTGAGCCTGATAAAGTGTTAAGCRAGGGAGAGAGACGTGTTCCATTTCACAGGGCTGAAGATGAGAGGGTCAAGGAGGACTTCAAATGAAAAGATGACGACAAAAGAAGCACAGGCCTGCGGGGTATTCCAGGACTGCAGAAGGGAAGGGACACGGAGGGGGACACGGAGGGGACCACGGAGGTGGAGAGGCATGGGGCCGCGAGTTCAGACCTGAGGGACTCGTTCCTGTTCCAGGCCACGGCAGGGACTGTTCTCATGTGCAAGAGCGCCGTGCCTTGGGAGCCTCTTCAGTAAGAGGCTGGTGTAACCCAGCTCAGCTGACATGGTCCCAAAGCAAGCAGAAGCTGGCAGACCCGCCACACACACTGCCAGCTCCGGGTGCCAGCATCCATCTTCTCTGCCAGTCCCCGTCAGGATGCCCTGGATTTGAAATTTTGCTAAGTGAGCACAATACTAGGTTTCAGTGAGCAAGCAGGCCAAGGAGGTTAGAAAAATACAAAATTTTAATCTCTACTTATGACAGTCTTGTCAAAGCCCCGAATTAAAAACTTTTTTTTCCAACCTGCAGAGCAGAACAGGGCTGAGCCTCCACTCAGAACTTTGCGGGCACTCTCTGCCTTTTTCCTCTTAGCCCAAGGCTCTGTGCTGACCCACCCACTCGCTGCTCATCATTGCTCTGGGGGTAGCGGCTTGAAAGCCAGCCTGCCCATCCTGCCAGCCCAGGTGAGTCCCATGCTGGGCCACCACAGCCCTGTTCTGTAACCCAAGAACCCTGCAGCCTCGGGCCCAACCCCCAAGTCCAGCCATCTGCCAGGACAGCTGCGAGGCCAGGGGGCCGCCCAGGGAGAGCACCCGCAGGGCTGCGAGCCCGGGATCTGTGGCCTCCTGGCCCACGTTGTGGAACGTGGGTCTTTAAGGCACCAAGTGATTGAAGAACTGGCTCTGTTTCTGATCAAGGCCTTCCTGTTACTCGTTAGTTAGTAACTGCTGGATGCGCTGGCACCCCGGCAGCTCCGGGAAGTCCTCAGTCTGTCTTCAGGGCAGGATGTAGGTAATTCTCTGAGCAACAGACTTGCAGCCCTGGGAGGAAAAGAGTCGTTCCTCCTGGGGGACATAGGTCATCATCTTGGCGATCTCGTCCAGGGACTCTTCTGTGTGCGGGAGCTCCTGGCTCAGGAAGGCGTCGCGAGCACACAGCCTCACGTGATGGTATTCCAGCGGCAGGAAGGGGACAAAGACGTCAATCAGGTCTTCTTTCACCAGASGGCTGCGGCCAAAGCCACTGTCTGAAATCAAGACAAAGTCACATGGAAGCTGCCCCGAGGCTGAACCCAGTGGGGCTCTACTGAGTCCCAGGACCYGCAGCATGGGCAGATTTGGTCTCGTGTGAAGCCCCAGGGGGGCTGTCTGCAGCGCGTGCCAAGAGCCACACCACTGGGTCTCCTGGAGCAGGTGAGCAGGGAGCGGTGGCTGGTGCCTGGCCTTGTCCAGTGGCAGGAGCAATCCTCCATTGGACAAGGCCGTGGAGGCTGACCGCTGAGGGTCTCACAGTGACACTCTGCTCAGAGCCTCTGTGTCTCCTGGGCCAGTGCCAATGCCTCTTTCAAAGCATTTTCAGAAAGGCGCTCTTCCTGTGCCACCCACAGTTGACAACACGGGATGACTGGAGCGTGTCTTCTGGATGGTCAGGGCCCCTGTGCACCTCACAATCACACCACCAGCGTTCACGCTAATCACCTCCAACTGTGGCTTGTCTTGTGCGTGGGTCACTCACCTGTGGACCCCATGATCTCGGCTCGGAGGCGGGGCTCTAAGTCTTCCATCGTAATTTCTTCCCGGGGCCGTCCAGCCTTAAGCCGTGTCAGGACCACCTCGTTGACAACGTTGCCCCCGAGGTTACTGAAAGAGACACGAAGGGCCTGTTGACAAAGGCTGTATTTTTAAGCCTAGATTCCCAATGGGTTCCCTGACCACGAGGCCAAAACCCCGGTGTGGGAAGAGTGGAGGCTGCGGGCCGGCCTCAGCCCTCCGGGGGAGACCTTGGCACAACTAGCATCTGCACAGAAAAGAGGACGTCCTGCCTTGCCACCCCAGCTCCCTTTGACAAAAGCTTAGGAAACTGCCAGGCGCAGAGGGCACAGCAATGGTTAGATGTGGTTCCTCCTCTGAGTTCTGTGGRACAAGGGCCACGTGTGTGAGGCTCCAGGACAGCATGGCAAGTGTCTGACCCAAGGAGAGCCTCGCGTTGAGGCAGAGGGCGAGTAACGGTCCTCAGAGCCGAGGAGGAGGGGCGTGGCCYGACGCAGAGGCCCAGGGGGCTGTGCAGCAAAGCATCAAAGGCAGGCTGAGACTCTGGGGGGCCCTCGCCATGTTTGCAGATACGGGCCACGGAACCACCGAAGGGCTTGGAGCTGGGGAGCGTCAGGTGGCGACCTGGTCGGTTTTACGTTCTGAGAAGATCATTTCAGGGCTACAGAGACTGATTGAAGGGCCATGGATGGTTGCAGAGAGCTAGTCCCCAAGCCTTCTGCCAGCAGTCCACACTCAGAGGTGACAGGTGATGGAGAGAAGGACAGAAGAATTAAGAAATACCACTGAGCCGGGTGTGGTGGTGCCTGTCTGTGATCCCAGCCACCGGGAAGGCTGAGGCTGGAGGACCACAAGATCAAGGCCAGCCTCAGCAACTTCGCAAGGCCCTAAGCAACTTAGTGAGACCTTACCTCAAAATAAAAAATAAATACGGCTGAGGGATGTGGCTCAGTGGTAAAGTGCCCCTGGGTTCATCCCTGGTACCAAAAAAAAACGAAAGAGGGGCTGGGGTGTGGCTCAGTGGTAGAGCGCTCGCCTAGCACGTGCGAGGCCCTGGGTTCGATCCTCAGCACCCCATAAAAATAAATAAAGGTACTGTGTCTCACTACAAAAAAAAAAATAGAAAGAAAGAAAACACCACTGACAAGACCCTGTCACTGATGGACACGAGAAGTGAGAGAGGACACGCGTCTGCCCTGGGCTTCCAACTGCTCCCGTCACAGGCGCCAATGTGCTCCCGTCACAGGCGCCAATGTGCTCCCCACGCTCCAGTGTTCTTCCATGGCTCTGGGGGACTGGGATGTCACTGGGCAATGGGAATTAGGGGTCTGGAGCACAGAACAGGATGGGGTTAGTCAGGGGATAAGGCGAGGAACCCAGAGAGCCACCAACAGGAGCTAGCACAGAGGTGCACAGACCTGGGGCCGGAGCGCGGCCCCCTCCCAGGGCCAGCACCCACCTCCCTCCCACCCCCGCCCCCGACCCAGGCTGCAGCCCCAGGCAGCTCCTTGGCCACCTCCGCCTGGGCCTCTCTGGCTCTGCCACCTGCCTCTCCACAGCCGGACGGGGAAGGTAGCAACGAGGGACTGCGGCACGCAGGCAGCAAGGAGCAGGGTCCAGCGCCTCCATTCCTCCCCTCCAGTCGACCCGGAGTCCCCTGGGACACCCTCCTGTGTGTCAACTCACTTCTGGGCTCATTTAGCATYTGAGCACACCCCTGAGCAAGGCGCCCAGGCAGGGAGAGGGGCTGGGTGCTCCCCCTCACATCTCCCCAGCCGGGGGCACCCCCCTGCCCAGCAGCTAAGCCAGAACGGACGGGCTGTCTCACCACATGGTCCACAGCCTCCTTCCTGAAGGGACCAATGTACTTCTGAAGACAGACTTTACCGGGGGCTGTGGGCACTGCAGGGACAAGGGCAGTCCCCTCCCCTTCCTCCAGGTCAGTGCTCAGCCAGACTTGTCCAGACACCTGCGTGTGGAGAAGCTGCTCACAGCACTGCTCCTGCTCCCCAGCCCCCACCTCTGTAGGAAGGGCCACAGGTCATCTGGACGCCCGAGGGCCTTCAGCAGAGGCAAGGTCACCCTGCTGCCAAGGGACTGCCCCCTCCCGCGTTCCCCACAGGAGGCAGAGGCAAGTRCTTGTGTCTCCACTGGCATGAAGGCCGCTCCTGGGATAAGGGCCAGACCAGCGGGGCTGACTACCAGCTCCTGGGCAGACCCCAGGGCCTTCCCGCTTCCACCCAGGAGGCCACCAGACTCCAAGTGGGTGGGGAACAGGAAGCGTGGCCTRCTTCTCTAAGGAGCCCCAGCACCTAGCCCAGTGCTCGGCACACAGCAGGGGCTCCACAGTGCGCATTAGATAAATGGACATGGCTGCACATCTGTCCATGCCACCTCCAACTCCCTTCTGAATGGCCCCTCTGGTCTGCCTCCCCCTCCCCAGGCCACGCTGCCGTCTTTACCTCACCAGGAGGCACGACCAGGAGGCCCCTCTCTATGCCCCCTCCCCTCGTCTTCAGCTCCTCAGGGCTGCCACCACCAGGCCACCTATAGACAGACACTTCCCCCAGGAAGGACCTCACCCCCCAGGCCCCCTGCCAACCCGGCCCRGCAGGCACCTCTATTCACCAGCCCTCTGAGGGCCTGGGACAGGACAACGTCCAAGCTCGCAGCYCTCGGCCCGAGACCCCGAGGAAGGGACTCAGGTTCTCTCCAGGACCAGCCATCCCCGACAACGACCMGGAACAGAGCAGCACCAACTGCTCCTCCCTGGAGAACAGAGGCAGSTCGACCCTGATCTCTTTGAGAGAAGGAAACCTGACCAAAGGTGCCCGAGTCAGAAAAGGCAGCCACCACACACAGGTCACTGGGGGAGGTCCGGAGCTCTCAGAGTCGCAGGCCTCCCCACCTGTGCTGGCACTGTCCCTGCCTCGCCTGGCAGCCGCCCAGGTAAATGGGCCTCATTCCCTCTTCCTTTACAGCTCCCCGGCCCCACAGGGGTCCTGCCCATGACCCTTCCCGAGCCTTCTACCCGGGTAGAAACGAGCAGGAGTAGTCGAGGTTGGTTTCTGGCAACCAGACAGGAGGCACCGAGTTCTGGCGACCTAGGGCCAGGCTCCGACACCCCAAGCCCCACAGGCTCACTCCCTGCTTCACTGCCACTCGGGAACCGCACCCTGGAACAGCACCTCCAGGCTCTGACCACCAGTGAGCAGTGCTTCAGGACAGGCCCTGGACCCGCCCTAAAACGACCTCCCGAGGGGGGGGGGGAAGAGCGGGAAGTGTCCCCAAACAGAACCTGAAGGACAGAACCTAAATTAGAAGGGGCACCCTTGGTGGTCGCAGGATGGACCCGGGCGCCCACCAGTCCCCGGCCTGGTGTACAGGTGCAGGCCAGTGTGCCCGGCCTCCGGAGCCACACCTCCCGAGGGCAGGAGGTCTGTTGGGGGAGCCGACCCAGCTCCTGCTCACAGTTGGGGCCGCCATGTTGGCTTCTACAGGCGCTGGGCATGGGTCCTGCCAGSTGTCGCCCCTTCCTACCTGCCATCAGGTGCCACAGAGGGCAGGCCACCAAAGCCACTGGGGCCTCAGTGCAAACAGCAGGTGAGGCWATTTCCCAGGGTTAAATGGCAGGTGTTCCCCGGGTGTGACTCAGTCACGTTGCAGCTCAAATTGCTTGTCACCCAGGACAGTACTCCTCACCACCAAGGGGAGGAGATTCCACGATGGACCTCAGCTCCCACATACACGTCTTCCCCACCCACCGTCGCTGGATGCCTGGCCTCAGGAGTTCAGGGCAGCCGGGGGTGGGGGYGGGGCTGCTGGATGTGGCCCTGCGTGACCGGGGGTGGACTGGCTGCGGTCAGTGGCAGGCGCTCGCAGGCCATGTGTGGGGCTGTGGGTTCCATCCTCGGCACCACACAAAAATACATAAAATAAAGGCGTGTGTCCATCTACATCTAAAGACACATTCTAACAAATCATTTAAAAAAGTGAAAGGTGGTCCCCAAGCTTCATCCTGCAGGAGGGGACTGGCTTCTGCAGCAGCAGTTCAGAGGGTCCCCAGCACCCGTGCCCCACGACCTGGGGGCTTCCGTGGAGAAGCCTTAGGGCCAAGGCCACTCCTCTATCTGGCCTCCTCTGACTCACTGCCCCAGGAGGAGCCCTGAGCCTGCTGCTTAGAACCTGGGGAGAAGGTTGAGAACCCAAGAGGCGACCTGTCCTCAACTCCTGACTCTGGGCACGCAGACTATATCAGACGTCTCTCTTCAACTCACTCGGGGACCCTCGTCCTCCGCCTCACAGCTCACGTCCCACAAGCCTGCACAGCAGGGTGGACTCGCCATCACACCAGAATCCTGACCTGGCACTAGTTTAAACCTGTCCCAAGGGTCCGCAGGAAGCCAGGTCTGCTGTCCGCAGCTCACCCCTCCATGCTCCCAGCCTGGGCGAAATCGTCCCCACTCCCCGTCCTCACCAGGTGTGCCCTGAAAACCCCCTGCAACAGGGGCGGCCAGGGGTGGGGAGGAGGAGCCTGCAGCCTGTGGGGAAGCAACTGGTTTGACTTYTAGGGAGTCTGCAAGAAGCTGGTGCAAAGCTTCAAGCCAAAGCCTCCATAAAGAGACAGAGTGGAACAAGTTATTTCTGTTTGCTTCCTGCAGGGCCACTTCAAGAGCCTGGGACACTCAGCAAAACAGAAGCAGGGAAATGTAGCCCTGTGGCAAGTCCTGCAGGTATCACAGATCTAACCACACTCACCCAGGGTTTGGCCAGCGCTTCCTCTTGGCAGAAAGAGACCTTCAGGCCTCTGGGGCTGGGGAAGAACTACTCGGCCCTCTGAGCAGCTGCCTTGGGAGCTCTCAGGGTCATGGGTACTTGGTTTTGAGTTAATGAGCTGTCTGCTGTCTGGAATAGCAAAGAAGCCCTCCAACACCCGCCACACCTCCCCTCACTCAGACTCACCTGAGAAAAAGAAAGATGTTCCTCGGAGACTCAGTGCTGTGGCCCTCAGTGGCGTGGCGTTCCAAGTGTGGCCCTAGGAGCTCTAGCAGCCCCGGGTGCAGCTTCTCAGCCTCGTCAAAGATGAACAGGCTCTGTGGGCAGCGCTGCTGCGTCCCCTGGATCTGGCTGGTCAGCTGCTCCTGCACAGGACACAGGGAGCTGTGGAGACCTGGGGACACATCCCACCCTCCAGCCACAGTCCGGGTCAGGGCACCAGTTTCCCCAGCACTTCCCMCGTGGGTTGCCTGGGACTGGGATCCATGCCCTGGAGGCGATTTTCCTGAACCTGAAGGTCGGCAGCCCTAGTCTGGGGAGAGGAAGGGGCCTGGGGGCAATGGAAAGAACCCCTTGTGTCCCTGGGCACAAGCCCCCACTCCAGCCTTCTCCCTCCTCTCCAGGCCTAGGTCCCGTCCTGGTCCTGGAAGTACCTGTCAACTCCCCAAGGGCAGGGGTCAGGCTCTGCTGTGGGGGTGACAGGCAGGAGGGGCTCAAGGGCCAGAGGCAGCCACTCCCCTGCCTGCGCTCCCAGGAGCAGCCCACCGCTCCCAGGCTGGGCCAAGATCTCAGGGAGGTGACACTCCTGAGCGCCTTCTGGGGCCCAGACAACCTGTAATGCAGGGGCTCCCAGAGATGGTGGGCTCCTGTTACCGCCAAGAGAGTAAACCCTCAATGGAACAGAAGCTGCTTTGTGTTCCCAGAGCTGTTGTTCCCAACTTCTTAGCCTGGCCTACACTCCCTGTCCCTCTCTAACCTCCTCGGAGTCTGACTTCAGCGCCCCRTCACCCAAGTGCACGGGTGTGTGTGGACACGCCAATTTTTACAGCAGGGAAGTTGGGATCCACAGAGTCAGGTAATTTCTCCTGAGAAGGCCCAGCTGTTGGCCGCCTGCCTTGAGGCCATCTGGAGTTCAGGACAGTCCACCCTGCCCTTGCCCTCTAGGTCATACTGAAAGGGCAACCTCCGTTCTCAGAGACGTCTGTGACAACTAAAAGCTAAAGCCAGGAGCAGTCATGTCCTTAGTCTTGCAGCTGAAGGAGTTTGCACATTTTCCTGACCAATTTTAAGTGCTGCAGGTCTGACAGGGAAGAAACCGKACCAGCAGAGCAGCAAGGGAACCTTCTGTCCACCCACTTGTGGCTACGATGAGCGGTTACGGGAAGACACGKAAACCACCTGATAGGGCTGCCTCCTTTTAAAACACAACACCACGGGGGATGGGGCTGGCCCAGCATGCTGGAGGCCCTGGGTTCCCTCCCCAGCACCACATTTTTTTGTTTTAAAAAGGCAGGATATGCTTCTTTTTTTTAATATTTATTTTTTAGTTGTAGTTGGACACATACCTTTATTTCACTGACTTATTTTTATGTGGTGCTGAGGATCAAACCCAGGGTCTCGTGCGTGCAAGGTGAGCGCTCTACCACTGAGCCACAACCCCAGCCCAGGATATGCAACTTTCTGTCCAATAAAATTGCAATAGTTGGGCTGGGGATGTGGCTCAAGCGGTAGTGTGCTCGCCTGGCATGCGTGCGGCCCGGGTTCGATCCTCAGCACCACATACCAACAAAGATGTTGTGTCCGCCAAAAACTGAAAAATAAATATTAAAATTCTCTCTCTCTCTCTCTCTAAAAAAAAGAAAACTGCAATAGTGTGGGACAGCTCGGGGCAAGGGCAGACACGCGGACACTGCTGCGAGCCAGCCAGGTTGGGTCCGTGCCCGGAGATCATGGCAAAGGTTTTGCTTTCCTCTCATTTCCCCACTTCCCTAACACAAAAGTCAATACACSACTGATTCTGGGAAGCTGCGTCTGGCTTCTCTCTCATGCATGACTGTGGAGTCTAAAACAGCAGTTGTTCCTCTGAAGGATCGGGGCCACTGTCACAGGTTCTGTCACACACCGCTGCCTGCGTCCTGGTCCTGCCCTTCCCGAGGCTTCCCAGAGCCCACCTCCTTTCAGGCTCGGGGTCTCCCTCAGCAGAGGCCTCGCTCCAGCCCCAGCCCTGGGTGCATTCCCAGTGCGCCCGCCTCACCTGGTACAGGTCCACATACTTGGGGTGTGGGAAATGGAACGTGGCGATGAACATCTTGACACACTCGCTCCTCAGCCCCTCCCGATACAGGTTCTCTGCCAGCATGCGCGCCACAAAGTTCTTGCCTGTGCCAGACCAGCCATGGAACGACAGAGCCAGGGCCTTCTCTGGCCAGGGCCTCTCTAAGTAGCCCCTCACCGTTCTCAGGACCAGCTCACGGGCCAGATGCTGGCCATGCAGGCGCACACTCAGGTTCGATTCCAAGCCTGGGGCAGGAAAGAGGAGGCCACAGTGAGAGGCACACAGGGGCATGACTCCTGCAGGTAGGGGTGTGGTCAGCCAAGCATCTCTGGTCATTCCTAAGGTGGATCACTGATTCATGCCATTTGGCCTTAGGGGGCAGACCTTGCAGCAGAATGGATTCAAGGGCCATTTTCTGAAGTTTGAGAAATCAAGATTGAACTCAGGGAGAGAACAGAATCACCCTTTCTGAAGACATCCCAGATGTGGGCACAGACCAGTTTGGAGGAAGGACCCTGCCCGCACCCTAGGCTGCCCCCATTCTTTATCTTCAGGCCTCCTGGAAAGCTTTATGGAGAAACCTCAGTTTATTCATTCTATTTCAATTCAGCAAACTCTTTGTCCATAATGCCGGCTGGGAACACAGCCCTGCGCTGGGCATCCTGGTGGAGGTGAGGTGTGCTGCCAGCTGGCCTGAGGCACTGCCATTCTGAGTTCTGGATCAACTGGTTTGGCACCTTGAGCCAACCAGGTCAAGGTCTACTGGAAGTATCACATCACTTCAAAACTAGTAGTGTCACAGGAGGGAAAATTAACTTCTACTGCTATTTTTCCTGTATTCAAAACTGTGCTGTTTTATATTTGATTTTCACAGTAATTCTGTAAGGCACGTACTATTATTCCCCCTTTAAAGTGGAGGAAACAGACTTGGGAAGGACTGTCCAAAATTTGCCGGCACAGGTGTTTCTGATTCCCTAGCAGAACAATCTGGACTCCCAGACCTTTCAGAGAGGTAACCTGCCGACTCACATCTAAAGTCTTATTCTGATCAGCAGAAATCCAAATTCACACTCCCTGATCTCTGTGCAGTCTGGTATTCGGTCTTGTGCCAGGCCATGTCCCTAGACATACTGTGTCACTGGCACTTCTTCCAATTAAGTGGCCTAATATCTAGGGTGGGTCTCATTTCTGGAGATGGAAATGCTGGGATCAGGGAAACTCTAGGCAGGAAACTACTCCTGGGGAAAAGAGGGAACTTCTGCAAACCACCAATGCAGCAGTCCCTTAACAGGCTAGACTAAGAATTGCCCTCTGAGAGTTAAATGCAAATCCCTTTAGTATGCAAATAAAGTCACCTGAACTGAATAAAACATCCAAGAGAGGAAGATTACTTAGCAGAACTTCACATGCAGTTGAACTTGAAGGAGAACATTTGCAGGCACATGGGTAGAACAGTTTTCAATCCATGTGATCGCTAATATGGATTCGTTTATAATGAGAAACCATCTCCTATTTCTGTCAGCTGCTGACACATCGTCACTGATCCAAAATAAACTGGAAACCCAAGTTGTTTCCCCCAGACATTTATTGGCTAAAGGTTAGAAAGGGACACTTGGAATCACAACACAATTCTGATTGGTTCTCTTGCTTGAACCTCTGCGAGGTTACTATTATTGTTCAGAGAAGCAAGGTGCTCTGGGCCTGACTCTCCCAAGGGTCACAGATATGTTGTATTAAGGGTTAATCCCAGCAAAACTCCTAGCACCATGCTTAGTATATAGTTGGAGCTCCATAGACATTAGCTTCTCTTTTTCCTAGGACCAATTCCCATGGTAGAACATGGTGAGAGATGGCAAATAGGCAGAGGACAATCTTCAGTCTCAACAAGGGACCGCCAGTGGCATTCAGCAGCCTGGCCTACCCTGGTAGTGTCCCTTCCTCCCGTCTTAAGTCTGGTATGACATGGTCATGGTATTCCCATGGATTCCAACAAGCTGAGCCATGAAACAATAGGTAAAAAAGGGACTTCTCCTTGATTCAAGTAACAGTGTCACTCACTGGGTTCCATCTTCAGTACAACACAAACAAAAAACCCACAGAGAATAGAAGTGCTCTGGCCTCTGTGTTTAAATGAGTGAATGCAAAATCCATTAAGGACACCACTAATGTTGGTCTCACATTGTTCCCATTTTGGAGGGTGTTATTTCTGGAAAGCCTAGTAGTTTCATGTCTTGTCCAAAGAAGATTCTCAAATAACTGCAGACCTGAGTGCAATTTCAGTGTGACAATTCCTGCATTAGGGGAGTTGCACCCCAGTAGTGACCTCGCCTCCCCCCGCCCCCCCCCCCGCCCCCCGTACATCCCTGACTTTGGAAACCAAGCCTGGGTCCAACCTGGAAAGTTGTTGGAGATCCTGCAGTCCCCGCCACTGCAGCAGTCCTGGAAGCCACAGTACCACGTAGTGAGGATATCCAGGTACCGTTGACCCAAACCAGGGAGGCTCCAGCCTGGAAAAAGAGGGGCTGTGAGACAAGGACAAGAGCCTTTGGCCCACGGCAGTGAACAGAGAAGCGACAGCCATACCACGCCATTTGTTAATGACAACGCCAGAACCCAAACTCGAGTCCCCACGCCCCCTGCCCAGGTTCCGCCCACTGCACGTGCTCCAGCGCGTCTCCGCGAGCAGCTGGGGAGGAGAGGTTCCGGGGCTGGAGGGCAGTCACCAGCTGCGTCCGCGGCGGACCTTCCTTAAAGTCCCCAGAAGGCGGGAAAGGGCAGCACCCTGGGCTTGCGGGGCGGGCTGGAGACCGCGCAGGACGCGGCGGAGGCGGGTCTGGAGGCGCAGGGACCGGGTGGGGCGGCGGGCGGCCCCTGCCCCCAGCCGCGAGCCACAGGCTGGCGAGCCCGGCGCTGGCCGATGGGGCAGCCGGGTGCCGCGAGGAGGGGCACCCCGCGCCCGGAGCGGCAGGTGGCCCCGGCGGTCGGCCGCGCGGACGGCGCTTACCCCCGGGCCCCGCGGCGGCGTCGGCCTCGTCACAGTCGTCGGGCCACAGCTGGCAGCTGAAGAGCGTCCAGTACCGCCTGGAGAGGGCTCCGGCCGCCCGCAGCCAGGCCCTCGCCGAGCCCGGCTCGTCCGTCCCCTCCCACGGCCTCTCGGCGCCGCCGTGCCCAGGTGCGGCGGCGAGCGGCAGCAGCAGCAGGAGGCCGAGGCCGAGGCCGAGCGGGGGCCGCGGGCCGCGAGGCATGGCCGGGCTCTGCCGCCTCCCGCCGCGGCCGCTGCGGCTCTTTAAGGCCCGGGCGGGGCCGTGAGGCGGGCGTGGGCCCGGGGTGGGTGTTGCCACGGCGACCGCCGCCCGGCTGCCTGCTCTCTCAACCCGTGACCCGGGCGGGAAACCGAAACCGGGCTGGTGTCCCGGGATGGCGTCCTGAGGCCGACTTCAGGTCCTGTCCACCCCGACAGCTTCCAGGGTAGTCTATTTCTGGGGCACGATTGCGGTTGCAAAGGCGGTGACACCAGGCCTTGAAATGCCCACTGTCAATCATTCTCTTATTATTTTCGGGTAGCTCTGTTGGTCCATCTGAGGTCTACCAAATAAGGACACACYTTCGTGCATGGCCCCTTGTCTACAGTCAACTTCCTGCCAAACTATTAGAGGCAGCTGGGGATACCCTCYCAGCCAGGGGAGTCAACTGAGCAGAGGCCCTGGGAAGAACGTGCAGGCGGAGGGGGCCCTTGATCCTCTGCAGAGGGAAATGAAACACTGCAGCAAATAACCAGCAGGCTTCCACCAAAAACAAGAGGAAGCTAAAGGTTTCAAGTTTGGAGCTATTTGGGGTTTGGAAACCACCCTCCAAGTTCTGGGGAAATCATGAGGTCTCCTGTTGAGTAATTATATCTCATGAAAAAGAAGGCTACAAGCTCTGTGCACTCTCAGCTAGGTTTGTAACTTTCAAGTGTTTGTGACTATGAGCAGCCATCAGACACCACCAGCATGCCTTTGAGGGCCTCTTTCCCTTGGATTTCCTTCTTCATAATATGAAGCACAGGACAGATTGTTTTAAATTTCAGAAGAGCCTAAAGCAGTTTTCAGAGTTATCTTGTCCTCATTGGAAACCACTCTAGAGTCAGATCAAGGGACCCACCTGGCCACTATCTTGTTTGGTGACTTTGAGGCTGGGCTCTCCAGTTGGTCRATGAATCTGAGCACCAGACCTTGCAAACATCACAAACTGCCCCCTCGGTTCATGCCAATCTTAGATCACACTCAATGCCAGGTCTGCTCCAATCTCAACAGCTCACCAAATTTACCTTTTTATTCAAATAGCCACAGAGGCCAGATAAGCACCTTTGTCAGGACACCATGAAAACTCAGTTGACAAGCAAAGTTATGTATTTTGTGTCTCACAGTGATGTCAAAAGGGAACCTAAACTTTTCACAGAGCAGCAGTTAAAGCCACCAGTACAGCATGACTTACTTGGAAAAACCAAGTAGAATCATTCAGAGGACAGCTAACTTGACCCACCACACTATAGTTTTGGATTTTTTTTTTTTTTTTTTTTTTTTGGTGGTGATGGTGCTGGGGATAGAACCCAAGGCAAGCACTCTACCAACTGAGTTACATCCCCAGTCTTATAGTTTGGATCTTAAGTGCCACCCCAAGACCCACATGGTAGAGAACTGGTCCTCAGCTTGGTGCTATTGGGAGGTAGTTGGAGGCCAGTGGGACGTCTTTGAATAACTGGACATGACCAAAGGGACTATGGGATCCTGTTTTCTTCCTTTTTTGCTCCCTGACCATGAAGTGGGCAGTTCTGCTCTGCCACATATTCCTGCCATGATGCACTGCTTCCTTCTTACCCCAACCAGAGGCCTAAAAGCAATGGGTCTGCCTGACCATGGATAGAATCTCCCACACCATGAGCCAAAATAAATTTTCCTTTATAATTATCTCAGGTATTTGTTATAGTGGCAAGGAGCTAATATATCTTTCTGCTTATTTGAAAACTAAAAACATTAACTCATTCAGCAAATATTGTTTTGAGCATGAAAGGCAATTTAGCATAGTGAATAACTCAACAGGTTCTACCACTTTCTATTTGTGTAACTTCAATTTCCCCACTCATAAAACAGTCATGGGAATGCTGCTAAGATTAAATGAGCTAATTTGAGTGCATCATAAACACTCAATACTTTATTTTCATACATATTTGTTTATATGATATATAAAATAGACTACTGGAGGAAGCTTGCTTGCCATTAGTTAATATTGATATTTATAGGTGAATTTATGGTAATAAAATTACTAATAACAGGGCTGGGGTGAAGCTCATGGTAGAGAGTCTGCTTAGCATGCATAAAGCTCTGGGTTCAATCTCTTGTACTTATTCTCAAATTATGATAACAAACCAGTGGCCCTCAGCTGTAATCCCAGTGGCTTGGGAGGCTGAGGAGAAGCATCTCAAGTTCAAAGCCAGCCTGAGCAATTTAGTGAGGCCCTAAAGAAACTTAGTAAGAGACTGTCTCAAAATTAAAAAAAAATAATAAAAATAACGTTTGGGACTGTAGCTCAGTGGTTATGTGCCACTCAGTTCAATCCCAGTACAAAAAAACAAAACAAAAACAAGTTTTAAGACTATGGAAACAACTATCTCTACTTACAACTGTCATCTAGTGATAACTGCTAATTTCTGAGATGCTCTAGTTTGGATTTAGCATTTAATGGTAAATAAACTAGGTTAATAGGAACTTGATTTCAAGAAACTTTTTTTCCTAAAAAAAAAAAAAAAAAAGAGGAACTGGGTGTGGTGGTGCATACCTTAATCCCAGTGGCTCAGGACTAAGGCAGGAGGCCTTTGAGTTCAAAATCAGCCTCAGCAATGGTGAAGCACTAAGCAAATCAGTGAGACCCTGTCTCTAAATAAAATAAAAAATAGGTTTGGGGTGTGGCTCAGTGGTYGAGTGCCTGAGTTCAATTTCAGGTAATTAATTTACATCATTCCTGATACCAAAAAAAAAAAGCAGCAGCAAATTCTTTTCACCAAAGAGTCCTAAATAGAGACAATAAATCCAAACACCAGCATCTAGACAAATCTCTGAATATTTCAACAAACTGTTAGCACAGTATTCTCAGAGGCTGGAGAGTAGTGGCTGTAGTATCTAGGATGATGGGGACATCTAGAGGCCATTGTGAGAACTACAAACAGCTAGGATTCCTCAGCAAGCATCCTGGCATTGGCACTGTGTGGGAGCTTGTCAGAAAGGCACTCTCAGACTCTTGGACCTACAGAATCAAAATCTTCATTTTAATAATGTCTTCCTAAAATAAAGTGGGTATGTGACACATTTTCTGAAGTCATCTGAGTAGAACAAGCTTTATGTGATATTCCCAAACTTGCTGAAGGCGGGCAGAACCATCTGTCTTGAAAATGATCTTCGGGTACAAATCAAGTCTCTCTCTCTCAATCAATAAAACTCTGAAAACAGGAGATGAATGTTTCCTGGTTCATCTATAAGCCAATAGTTGCTTTAACATCTCTGCCATGGTACACTGGGGGGCATCATGGGTGGAGCCTGACCCCTCTATAGGCAGGGCACAGCCAGGCTTCCTGATGAGACCATGGACACTCCTGAGGGTCTTCCTGGCCACTCAGGTTCTAAACTTATTGGAGGCCTGGGAGACACTACATTTGTTCAGCGAGGGGCTCTCCACATGCCACCTGTCWAGTCTGGATCTACGTCCCCTTCTGTGGTGTGCCTACTGCCAACCCCACACCTGCTGCGTTCCTGCTCCTTCATTTTCAAGTTAATTTACATCATTCCTGAAGCATTTGGTGGCTCTGTCAGGATGAGATTAGGGGCTCTTTAAAAGTGGGATGTCACTGTCATTTCCATTTCACAGCACAATATCCAATGTCTACGCAAGACCAAAACCTTACAAATGGTGACTTAATGCCATGGTTCCCTGGGGTTTTTATTGCTATTTACCCCACAAAACCCCACTATGGAAACCAATCTTACAAAATGAGGGCTGCAGGAGTTTGTTTTTTAGGCAAACACAATAGGTAAGATCTACCCAGTAACAGAACATCTCCCCTCACTCCTGGCTGCCCTTTTCAAATTCTAATACCAGTCATTCTAATACATTTGAGAAGCACACAGACCCTGAAACTTAGCCTGCAAGAGGATTTGTATGTGGTGAGCCTGTGAGGAACACAAATCAGGCTTTGGCCTCCTGCATGTATTTAAGGACACATGACCAAACTGGCAGATACGCTGCAACTAAAGGGAAAAATCTCAAGAACTCTGCACAGTTGTCTGGTTGAGGTTTAGGATGAATTTCCATGTCCCAAGTTAAAAATCTGTGTGTTCTAAGAATTCTAATCAGGACAATCAGCCTTCTCTTCTGCCTGTATGGTACTATGTTGACAAGTTCTTTAGAACTCAAAATGCTTACCTCTAAGAAGATGCAAGAATGAAGTTAACTACTAATATACAAAAAGCAAAGAGAATTCTTTTTTTGTACCAGGGATTGAACCCAAGGGTGGTTAACCACTGAGCCACATCCCAGACCTTTATTTTTTTATGTTGAGATAGGGCCTTGCTAAGTTGCTTAGGTCCTTGATAAGTTGCTGAGGCTGGCTTTGAACCTGCCATCCTCCAGCCTCAGTGGCTGGGATTACAGGCATATGCCACCATGCCTGACCCGACGATAAATGATTCTATGAGAAACTTGGTATAGTTACAACTGTAGGGACCTTTAGATTAGTAAGGAAATTCAAAGGTCTTATCCATAAGATGCTGTGAAGTAATCCTGTGGAAGTTTAAGTGGGGGCAAAAGATAGAATCTATTCGCCAAAAACAAGGAGGAAACTGGAATAGAAAACACTGGTAAAATCCTGAAAGTCAGGAAAAGAGATTCATAGGAAAAGATGATACCCCAATATTTATTAAAATCTTTTATTTTCAGCATCAAAACCCATAGAACACATTAGTTGTATTGTGTGGTGTCTTACCAAGCACATCCTCTATTTGTGCAACAGCTCTGAGAGGAAATCCTTGGCAGATCAAACATGAGGGTGGTGATTCTTACACCTCCTTTTAAGCAAATAAATTAGCTTCCGAGTAATATTTTGTTTCCCCCAATGTTCTGTTTCAGTACAGTACCCAAACCCTATTCTCGCCCAGACTGAAAGAGTGGAAGGGAGAAAAGCTGCCCCAGCCCCCACCTCCCAACCCCAAGCAAG